TTTATTCGTTTTGATGTTTTCAATTGAATTTTATTTGAATTATGATAATTGAAAGATCAAAAAGCGCTTGTAAAATAATAAAATATTTATTTTAGATGTCTTTCCATTTCCAGAAAGGGCTCAATGCTCAGTCTTCATATACCCTCCCCCTCTTTCTATAGCGCCTGGTGGGGGGGGGGGTTGGAGAATTTACAGTAAACCAATTTCTAGATCTAATTGAAATGTAGCCTAATTCAAATTACCTATTTGAAGATCAAGATAATTCCAAATTTAAAATGTAATCAATAACTTAAATCTATTTACAAAGTAGCAATCTCTGTTTGACTGTTTGGTTGTTTGTTTGTCTGATCATAGCTCATGAACCCCGTGACCGATTTGCCTCATATTTAGATTGGGGAACATGGTAAAACCACGGTACAAAAGTTCTCTTGAGTAGGTTCATGTAAATATACGAGGATTGTTAGTTTTGTAAGGTAACGTATTTAAACTGAAATTAGAACATTAAACAACTTTTTAAAATTATTTTTCTTAAGATAAATATTTTCAAGAAGTCAATGATTTTAAAATGTTGATATCCAATGATCATAATGTTTGCAAGAGGGAAGTGGCAATTTTAAACTTTACACTTTAATCATTATTTTAAATTGGAAAAAAATTAAGTTAAATTAGTTTTCTTTCTTATATCTTATACTTTATTCATTCAATGCAGATTTTCTTAAAGTTGAATACATTTTCCAGAGTTGTAAGAGGATTTATGAAAAAGAATAAAACTATTTTATTAAATATGTCAGACAAAATACAAACTTATTCTTTGACGAGAAAACAAACATTAGTTTTGAAAAAAAAGAAAAAAGAAATTCAAGTAAAAATTTATATTATATTTTATATATCAAAGTATTTAGAAAAATAGATAAAATCCCAAAATATGTTTAGATAGAATAGTTAAATATAAATATAGATATAATCAAATCAATAATATAATCAATAATCAATTTTGTCAGTCACCTGAAACCAAGCTCAGATTAACAGAGATTACTACTTTATAGATAGATAGATAGATGAATGCAAATATTAGATGATTTATTATTAGAATTTAAATGAATTAGTTCAGGTTGGTTTTCTACCATTGTCTTAGTACAGATGGGTAGATCGGTAGATAGTTAGGTAGTTAGATAGGTAGATAGGTAGATAGGTAGATAGGTTGATAGGTAGATAGTTAGATAGTTAGATAGTTAGATAGTTAGATATGTAGATAGGTAGATAGGTAGATAGGTAGATAGATTGATTCTAACGTAAATATTATTCTTAAAAAATCTAATTTTTATAGCTTTTTATTTAAAATGTTTTATTAATAGAACCAGCTAGTGCAGTGTGTTGATCAAATCTCCATGGGACGTGATCAGAATTTAAAACAGCGGCAACATTCACCGATCAAAGAAGGTCGTTAGTAAAAATGTCATGTCAAATTTGATTAACGATAACAGTGTTTATTGATTGATTCTTATATTTCATTAGATTTTTAATTTTTAGTATCTTTAATAATAATAACTAGCTGAAGTGCCCGGCGTTGCCCGTGGAATATAAAAAACATTTGAAATTTTTTTAGAAAATGCAACCTTCCGGGGCACCCATGATTCCCCAAAAATTGCAGCCGATTTGGTCCAGCCGTTTAGCCAGCTATAGTTAACATATATGCTTAAACAAATATATTTACAGGGCTACCCCCAAAGGATTTGATTAAGTATTTTGATGGTTTATTAAATGGTCAAGCACAGAAAAAAGCCAGTTTTGGCCTACAAGGAATTAAGGATTTTCAGCTTATTACTTTAAAACACAGAGAGGTTGCGTGATATAAAAATCTGGAGGTTTCGCGATTTTCTTCTATGGAGGTTGCGTGATTTCTAACGTAAACCTACCGCCATACTTTTAAGTTGAAAAAATTTTTTAATAATAATTGGATTTATTAATTTATTCATTCATTCAAAATAAAAATTGTTAAATATTTTTTAAAGTTCTTTTTCAAACATTTGAACTGCATAAACTGGTCTAACTCGTCTAACAGAGTAATTATAACCCAGTGAAAAAAAAAGATTTCTCTTCAATATTTTTAGAATTTTTACCTCAGAAATTAACTAATTAATTGCCACGGCAATTGAAGGCAATTCCGCAAGTAACTAATAACTTCGGATCTTTAAAAAGTGGGCTGACGATTTTGCACTTTTCAAATTCTGAGATGTTTCAAGTTTGAATGTACTAATATATAGAAAAATTGGAAAAATATGTGCATTTACAAAGGCGAACCGGTTATACAATTTTGAGCTTCAAATTATAAAAAAAATGATGTCTGAAATAATCTTACCTTGAGATTTGTCTGTGTGCGGACTATATCCAGATGTATTTCTATGTTCACCGCTAGAGGGAGTTGAGCTCTCTATACTAATCGACGTTCTACTTGTGCTCATCGGTCGTGGCGTACTCCCAGGTCGCGGTGTACTAGAAGGACGAGGTGTACTGGTAGAACGGGGTGTACTAGAAGGACGAGAAGATGTTCTAGGTCTAGGTGAACTGATTGATCTTGTAGTAGTTCCAAACCTAAAATGAATAAAATTGCAGAAAGTTCTTTTGCTACTTTAGAATAGGAGGAAGACATTGAATCAATATTTAAAGTGTATTCGATGGTGTTACGAAGCAAAGAGTTTTACTAGAAGCCTAAAAATTAATCATTTTATTAAATGGTTTGTACACTCTGCACAATTTCTATGTCTCATGTATGAACTATTTAAAATCCAAATCCTATTCTAGAGTTTTCTGGTTCTCACTCTTAATGGTGGTAGTTTAAGGAATTGAGTCGTTGCAACAAATTTTGATTTTCACATCCCTATATCTTTGCACTCCAATGTCACAGACGTAGATGTTTAAAACTATAGATTCTAATGGATAAAAAAATTTAGTTTGAAATATTAATCTTAAATGCGAAAGCATGTAAAACTCCACAGTGTCTAATTATGATATTTTAAAAAATTGAGAGCTCATGGGAAATTTAAATGAGCAATTGCATTATAGAATGTTTTACCTAAAATTTAAACTATTGACGGGACCAGTCGTCTTTTCTTCTACGCCATTTTGAATCTTCTGTCTGCCATTATTCTTCTCTGATCCGCCATCTTTATTTGAAATTCTACTGTCTCTCCCTGAAATCCCTACGCTGTCTAACTCGGACAAGTCGGACTCAGATAATGATCTGGACACCAAACCATTCCCTGAAAAATGTCATAATTATTACCATTAATGATCGCAATTATCACCATGACCATGATCATGATCATTATAATCATAATCATCGGCATTATATTATCATCATAAAGATAATCATAATCACGATCATGATCTTCATCTTCAATATCAATTTGATCGTCATTATCTACATACAAATAATAATCATCATGGACGTCATGAACATCATCATCATCAATATCATGAGAATCATCATGATCATCATTATGAATAAAAGTTTTAAAGCTTAAACTATTTTTTTACCTTGAATTGATTTGATTTCTGCAAGAACAAGATTCCGGAACTCTTCAACGTTCTCCTTCTAAAATAAAAAATGACAAGTTTTTATAAAAAAAAATATCTTAAAGTCTAAAAAGTTCACCTTGCTGTTCTGTTTGATGATTTGATCGTGGAGTGACATTTCATCCATGGATCGATCCTCGCTCGATCTGATCAATGCATCTCCGGGTTTATCCTTTGACTTCAAGTTCGGCATTCTTTTATTGATATGGGACATATCGAAAGAATGGTTAAGATCGAACGAGTCTGATTGAGTTGTATCAAAATCAATCATTATTTCCTGGGACTCGTTTGGATTCAGCTGTTTTGTCCCATACTTTATTCCTAGGAAAACATGTTTATTAAAGGAATTCTTGCTTCAGGTTCAATTTATTCTATAAAAGTGTAGAAGTAATTTTAAACGACTCTCCATTTATAGAATGACATTTCTAATTCACAACGATACCCTTAAAAGCTTTGTCAAGAATGAATGAGAAATCCATGTTTTTCTTTCTGAAAAAAAGGTGATATCTTCCACATTATTGTCAATTAAGCATGACCCTCTTTAATTGGAGATGGTGGGTCACATTAAATTACAACGAAAGAAACTTTAATTTGAAAAAAAGGTATAATGCTTCATGCTTGTGGTCGATCAGCATCCAAAGAAATTGAGTCTTTGCCACAAACTCTGTATTTCTAATCCCTATATCTTGGCAACGCAAGGTGGTAAACCGTAGACATTTCAAACTGTTAATTATGTTGGATCAAAAAAACTAAGTTTGAAATATAAAATATTTACACTATTGTATGTTGCAAAGATATAGAGATTATTGGCAAAGATTCAAGTCCTTTAAAAATATTTTTTAAAACTAAAAACAATGTTTTGATTCTTAATACCTAATATATTTTGAACTTCTATATCCTGACTAGTTTCAGAACACATGGTTGCATTACTCATGGCACTCCGTGGTCTAGGAGGCAGCTCGTACTCACGTCTAAAACAATGTGGTTTTAAAACATAGAATTTACTCGTACCGGCTAGTCTAGTGTAACCGTGACGTAATAATAATAATAATAATAATAATAATAATAATAATAATGATAATAATAATAACAATAGTAATAATACTAATGATAATAATAATAATAAAAATTATGATAATAATAATAATAATAATTAATAATAATGATAATAATAATAGTAATAATACTAATGATAATAATAATAATAATAATTATCAATATTCCTACATGTACCTAATTGCAATGTTATGTATTTTAGGTATACTAGGCGAAGCAGGAATAGAATTAGGATCTTTAGTAGCGCTGGTTAGGATAGTTTTGATACTGGGAGAATTCGACGGATGGCGTAACCTCGGCGATCCAAAAGGGGGGCGTGGAGACCCTAACCTCCCAGTCATTTGAGGAGCCTCCAGGGACCTTTTTACGATCGGAGAAATCGGGGTTTTTCGGGATTCTCCATTCAGATTGCCTACGTAGTTAAAATCGTCCAGCATAAAGGTTTTTGGACTGTTCCTGGAAAAAAACTGTAGAATTACATCAAATTTGCAAACAATTACGAAATAAAATGAGTTTTTGCCACAACTATAATTTTGCATTCCCTTTATCTTTTCAACCTGATATCGTGTACGTTTGACATATCAGGTTGCAAATATATTAGGATTAGAAAATTTGAGTCTGTTGCAAAAAAACTCAGTTCTCTTTAACTTTTTAGTAAATTTTTAAAACACATACCTGTGGAGAATTTCGGATAGTGTCCTCTTATTTTTTTCTGATTTTTTCCCTTCTGCTTTCTGGGTTTTTTTGATTTTCTTCTTGTAATTCAACCAATCCTGCTCATCAATAAAATCTCCTAAAACAACAAAATTATGAAGGAAACTTAATTTTGGAAAGCAGAAATATGATAAAAAGATCAAAGAAAAAGAGAAGTGCTGGAGATCGAAATCTGGAATTGTTTTTAAAAAGTGTTCACTGTATACTGTTAGGTCTATAGACATAACTCCAAGTGACCCTCCATAGAAGAGTGGCATTTCCTATCACAGCGGTACTCTTTTAAATTAGCTTAATCTATGCAACAATAATAAAGATATCCTTGTTTTGCGTTCTAAAAATTGACTTCCAATTGTGGTTTCTCTTTTAAACAGATTTTCTGAATTATTCAGCAGAAAAAAAAAGAAAAATTTTAGAATTTAATAGTTTTCAGACGTGAAAATGAAAATATTTCTGAATGGGTCCCTTTAAACTTTTAATTATCAGTTTAACAAATGTACCTTTAACATTGTTTAGAGTTTCCTCGTGTTCTGGGTTGAGTTCACACTCCAGGCTAGAGTTGAGCTCAGATCCAGATTTAGACTCAGAGGAGATGAAGACGATCTTAAAATCCTTCCCTGCAGGAACCATCTTGGTCTCGTCGAAAACAATGTCGGAGTTATTATCAGACTCAAGGGATACATGGTTCATCGCTCCACCCTCGTCAAAATCAATCCTAAAAAAGAATTTGATAAAAAGAAACTAATGTTTCCTTATCAAAATGGAAAATCTTTCATTATTTAACTTAAATAACCTTTTTATTTCTTCGTAAAGTCTTATAAATATTTGATCTTAATTAATCTTCCAAAACTGAAATATTTTATTTCTATTTGATGTTTTGCTGGAAGAGTTTGTTGTGATTTTTTTCAAAAATACCGGACAAATAAAAAAATAAAAAATAATATATAGACCGGCTGATTACCCACAAAAAATGAGACTTCAGAGACAAATGTACAAAATTTATATAAAAAAATGATTACTTATTGAATCTTCGAAAATATAATAATTTTCCTCGCAAGGCTTTTCAATTTTTACATAGATATTAGATACCCAGAATTAGATATTAGATACCCAGAATTAGATATTAGATACCCAGAATTAGATATTTGATACCCAGAATTAGATATTAGATGCCCAGAATTAGATATTTGATACCCAGAATTAGATATTAGATACCCAGAATTAGATATTAGATACCCAGAATTAGATATTAGATACCCAGAATTAGATACTAGATACCTAGAATTCGTTTCATAAAATTCTGATTTTTTCCCTTAATAATTTTAATGCCAGTGGTTTGGAAAATACCCCCAGCATACCTTGTGCTTTCTAAATCACTGAAATTTATGCTTTCTTCCGCTTTTAGTTTACCGCCGACGATCTTGGCTTTCGTCGGTCGAACCGGTTTCGGCGGTGCTGTTTCCGGCGGCGGTTTCATTTTTTTAAGAATAGGAGAGTGACGAGGCTGTAAAGGTACACCTAAAATATTTATAATGAAAAATCATGATAAATTTAAAGAAATTTGATTATTCAAAATGATTATAACAAATACGCATTACTTTATCAAAATGAAAATGTTTTAACAATAATATTCATAAGAATAATCTGTAATTTTCAATCATATTATTTTAACAATTAACAGTTTTAAATGATTTTAACACACACCGCAAACTCTAATTTCAAATAATATGTATCGTTACAACCTAATTGCGTAAACCTTTGATATTACAGAGATTTGACTCTAACTGTTTGAAATATCAAAGGTCTACAAGATAAGTGAACAATTAGAAATTAGAATTTGTGGAAAATGTTCATTTTCTTTAAATAAATCTTTTAACTTTTATTTTTACCTAATATCATTGTTTTGTGTTGATACATATTTACAGTCTACAGTGTTAGCCAAAACCTTTATGTATATTGTACAACATGCGTATTACAAGGTACAGTGTACCCATGCTTCTCAATTTAACAGCCATGCAAAATAATTTTTTTTTAATTTCTGAAAAAAAATAATATCAGTTTTTCAATGCAAGCAAAACTGATAAAATTAATAAACGAAGAAGTATTTATTTCCCGATCTATTCTAATTTTGTTATTTTTGATCAGAAATAAAACACAACGACAATTTTGTTCAGTTAACATACTATATTATAATTTTACATGCACCAAAATAAGTTTACTTGTTATATACAATGTTTCTCCATCCACCCTACTCTATCGCAGTAGACTAAAAACTAAATATAGATGTGTATATATATAATATGTATATTATATATATATATATATATATATACATATATTTAGAAAGAAACCTTATTTTCCAATAACAAACTTCTCTTAAGCTTCACATTTCAACAGAAAGGAATTATATTGCTTATCAACTTGAATTTTATAATCTTTACATCTTTGCAACCTGTTATCGACGTCGTAGACTATCTATTAGATCAGAGAGTCGAAGTTTTTGATTTACCAACAGGCATTGAATAATGTGACTACTTTTGTTAATATAATTTTTTAACTATTGTAAACATTTTTATTTTTCACAAAATATCCCAATTTTAAACTTTTAAAAGCTGTAACATAAAACTATGTTCTCCAAACTTCGTTCTTTGTTCCTCTCTTCCCATGTTTTTATGTCGATGAAAGTAATTTTTCTTCCCGGATTTTTCGCATTAGAAGGTTGGCGGATTCTTCTTAAACTTTCCGTCTGTTCAACACGTTTTTTCCGTCGGATTGTTGATCTTTGACGAGTTCCTCGTCGGAAATCTTCCAGTTCCTCATTTTCAATCGGAATAGATTTCAACGTTTTCGGAACAGTTTGATTCTCTTCCTCCTCATGCGGTTGAATGACATGTTTGAAATTATCTGTGGCTTGTAACATTATATCTCTTATCTTAGCATGATGATGTGCCTCTATAGGGTTCATAAAGACTTGGGGGTTATGCTGAACAGAAATATCTTCCTTTTGTACAGATGATTCAACCTCAAGTACAGTTTGGGGATTCTCCTGTACTTTAGGTGTCATTTTACTTTTCTTCTCCACAAATTGATCTTTGTTTGGGGATTTTTTGGATTCCATTTCTTCTTCTTCACATATTGGTTTTGATATATTATTATGCTTATCCTGTACCTTGTTAACTTCTTTTTGTTCTATACTATGTTTAAGTGGTTCATATTTATTTGTATTCATTTCAGGTTCAGTTTTAATATCTTTCTGTTTTTTTAAAATACTTTTATCATCGTCTATAAATTTTTCTTGTTTTTGTACCGACCAATCCATTTTTCGTACAGACAACTGTTGTTTCTCAATCGTTTCCTCATTTTGATCATTGTGCTGTTCAGGTCCTTGAAATTGTACAGCTCGATTTTGTCCAGAATATTCGAAATCCTCGGTTGGGATTTTATGCTTAAACGCTTCTTCAAGCTCGTCATCACTCCAGAAATCATCTTCAGTAAGTATCTCAAGAGGTTCCGGCGATTCCGTACCTTTAACAACATCAGGTAGTTCTCCGTCGTTTGGCGCTCTTTTACCATCATTAAAAATGGCCGTGGTTGAATTTCCGGTTATTTCTTCATTGCAAATGGTGGAATTCTGCTTTATCTCTGACTGGTCGTTTTCCAGAAACCCTGATAAAATAACTAATTCTTCATGATAAACTGGTTTTCTCTGATTCATTTGATTTATCTTGCGTGCTCGAGGTATTGGAACAGCTGGAGGATTTTCAATATTGGATTCTTTGTGGTCGTCTTCCAAAGATCTTTCTTGATCTTTTAAAGAAGCAGAAGATTCTATCGATGTATCACTTAAAGCTTCGAGTTCTTCGATCGAAGCTTCTCGAATTGTATGAAGATCGAAGCTTGGTCTGAAAAAAACTTCCATTTCCTCGTCACTGCTATGGTGGTAAACGTACTCTCTGCCAAACCGTGGATCATAACTAATCACTGAAAACCCAAACCAAATATTTTAGAAAAGATTTGAGGGATAGTGATAAAATTTTAGTCTTGAATTAATGCGGTCTCGGGTGAAGAAAACAATTGGGTGAAAATAAATTTAGATTTATCTGAAGGAAAAAGAAAATTTTCCATTATTAAGATTTTTCTTTTCAATGGACAAGGTAGATTTTTCTTTTATTGCTGTTTCAAAATCTATGGTTTTCCTAAATCATCAAAAACTGAATCATCCTCATCAGTCATATTTTCGAGGCCTTGTAAATTCAAACCCAGCTGCTCACTCACATTTAGTCCTAAACAACTTCGAAAATAAATCAGCGCAGTAAAAAAGTAATTCAAATTTAGTTCTATGTTCGTTAATAAGTTTTAAGAACATTATTACAACCTTTGGCTCTTCCAATAGACCTAGGAGCAGGTGTTGGAGGTTGTCTCATGCATATTACTTCCTTTTCTTCCTTTTCTTCTTTTTCTTCATCTTCTTCTTCTTCTTCTTCTTCATCGTCTTCTTCATCTTCTCCTCCTAATTCTACTCCTGTGTAGATTGTACACAAAGGAAAATCTTCCTTTCCATCATTAATCTTTAGAACACTTTTTTCTTCTTGCTTTGAAAGATTTCCTTCTTGTACTGTCAACTCTTGTTCTGTGTCATGATCTTGATCTTGTTGTAGCTGATTTCTTATTTCTTGCTTAACCTCTTCTTCTTTTTCTTCTTTAAATATTTTTTTTTTAATTTAAAGGAAATTTTTTTTGAAGTTTAAAGAAAACAAAATCTTGGCAAGAATATTATACTTTAAAAAAAATAAATTTTCCTTTTTCCGTAGAAGAATCTTCGATTTCTTTTGTTTCCAGAATTTCTTTTCTTTTCTTCCTGTTATAAAAGAAATTTTAAATTGAATTTTTGCCAAAAAACAAATGTTTTTTTTGTTGAAATTTACAAAAATTGACCTAATTGTAGATCGTTGTCTGGTTCCTCGAACAAAATCTGACAAATCTATTAATTTATACATTTCAAAAATAATCTTTTTTTAAAATATAATCTTTAGAAAGATTTTTTTAAACTTTAACGTTTAATATTTATAATTTTCAAGTGTATTCCTGGTTTTAGGTCATCAATTATAAATGCTTCTTCAACATTTTCCCAAACCGTCTCTTCGTCAATTTTTTCATCTGATTTTTACTTCTTCAATTTTAAAGACATTTTTACGTAAAAACATAAACATTGCAAGACATTTTTCATTGGACTTATGAGAGCGAAATATTTTTTTGAACGGGATATTTTTCATGGTTAGAAAAATATTTACGATTTTAATTATTTTTTGATATTTTTGGATTGCAAAATTCTTAAAATCAAAGTGCTCCTGTGACCGGCTCCTCCTCATTAAACCATAAACCTGATTTATATTAGATGGCATAAAAATATGATTTTATAATATTTCTTTTTTAAAACCTGATTCATTTGATTCTTGGTCATAGGAGTCTTCTAAACATTCAAAAAAATTTAAAATCATTTTCAAAAATTTAATAAAATTTTCGAAAACATATGATTTTCATTCCAGCCATAATATCTATAGTAAAATGGCTTACATCAACTATTAACTTCTGAGTCATTCATGCATATTTCTAAAAATACTTATTTTATATACATAACTATGACAAATGGGCACACAGTTTCATTAGCTATATATCTACACATATGTACAAATGTAACAATTATTAAAAAAATCATGAACCGCTTTTTTATAATTTTTACATGGACATACTCAAATGATTAATCATGCAAATTCTAACTATGTAACATGCAAATCAGTTTATACAGCATGCATTTTTAACAATTTTACCTTCTAATTTTCTTGTTTTTTCCATTGTTGAAGCATTTCTTCGCACAGAGGTCTAAAACATTATTTCAATTACTGTAAAATGTTATTGAATTTTTTTTGGGGGGAGGGGGGTTGCTATTCTTTTTGTAAAAGCGGTGCCAAAGGGTTGAACAAAGGGTTTCACAGCTAAACAAAATAATAAAGAAAAAAATCAAATCTGTGCTGTTCAATCTAAAAGGATTTGAGTCTTTGCCACAAACTCAGATTTCTAATCCCTATATATTTGCAACCAAATGCCATAGACCTTAGTCATTTCAATCTATGAATTCTGGTAGATCAAATAATCTAAGTCAGAAATATCAAAGATTTGCGCCATCAAGTTGCTAAGATATAGGGGTTAGAAGATTTGAGTTTGTGACAGAGACTCAATTCTTTGACTATTAAGACAGGTTTTTCAAAGAGAATATAGAGACCATCAAATTAAGGATAGAAGTTCTAACTATCTCCAGTATGACCATAATTAAAAGTGAGAAGTAGCCGAACCATGCAAAGCTAGTTTAACTTTTTGCTCTGGTTCAAGCTGAATAGAAGCGGCTAAACCACATGAAACTTTTTATTGAATTTTATAACAATGATAATAATAAGTTTATTTTTTTGGCGAACATAACTCACAATATTTTTATATAAACTATTCAAAAATCTGTACATTGAAAATTTGAACATCAAAATTTTGGTTTCTCAAATAAAATTTTAAAGGGTATCGTTGTGAATATTTTCGATCAAGATCCTTATTCAAAAGGCGTTTTTTACATGAACTACCAACCTGTTTTTCCGAAGGAACGCCCACATCACTGTTCCGCCTACCCTGCCTATTGGCGTGTCCAGGGGGCGGGGATGAAGAATCATAGTCAGGGGTTGGCTCACGAAGGTTCCTCCCACCTATATATATATTCAATTTAATATTTAATCAAAATAAATAAAAAATTTAAAATAAATTGAAAGAAAAAATCTTGAATTGAAAAGTCTTAATGGAAAAACACACCTTTTTAGCAGGGAAATACAAATTTAAGAATAAAGAAGACATCATCATATTTTTGTAAATAGTTCTTATTAACGATCGAACAAATGCGGTTTAGTTTGAAATGATCTCCAAAAGTTGCTGAAATTGTATTTGGCCATTTATGGTAATTTTGTAATAAATTTAAATACATTCAGAGATAATTCTTGTTAGGAATCCTTGTTTATTTAAAAATGGCTAAGAATAAAAACCTCTTAGATAAATCAATTAATTTTTTTTGTAATTACCCACAAAATATATGACTTTAATGACGCCTTACAAGAGATAAGACAGTTAAAAATTACAAAAAACGTAATCAAAAGTCGTATTGAAGTAGATTTTTTTCTCGCTTTTTAGTGGCTATACATTTTTTTCTGCTGCTTTACCTGGAACATTTGGCAGCTTTCGTTTAGTATTATCTACAATATCTCCTTGGCTGTGAGATCGCCAACGATCGTCGTTGGTGGCTTCAGATCGTCCCCTGTTATCACTTAGTGATCTCTTCTCGGGCCTAAGTAATGCATTTAAAATAGTGCATTGCTGTATAGAAGAACGATTTTTAACACCAATTTAAATATTTTAATTTAGAATTATGTGTCTGCACATTTATGATTTTTTTTTCATAAACGAATTCCCTGAAATGAAATATATGACAATTTTTTCCACGAAACCTTTCTAAAAAAAAACTTTTTCAGCATTAATATTAAAATTAATGATACGTGAATTTATATCTTTTTGAAATGATTAATAAGTTTTCTATCATTTATTTATCGAAGGACGCAACTGCACTGGGCATTTCAAAGAGGAGAGAGAAGGGCTAAGTCTTAATGTACAGGGTGACCCACATCATATTAGATCGGCAATGGGTCTCAATTACGATTTTCAGGACTAATCAGAAAATTAAAAAATTTTGAATAATTTTGAAAAATGAATATGGCTAACGTAAAAGTTTTCTTGCAAAAAATATTAGGTTTTTCAAGTATTATGAGTTTATTTTGGCGTTAAAGCTAAAACAGTTGGTAAATAATTTTGAATGTCGTCTTCCATACACTGTATTAGATATTAATGGCTGTTTGTAGTTTATTTCGCTTAAAAAATCTTTTGCTCAAGTATATTTTACTTTGAAATTGATTGTACTATAATATGACTCCTATATAATATTTCTTTAATTGTCTTTGGTATTAAATAACTTAACAAATTATGGAAGAAGACATTCTAAACTATTTACCAACTGTCATGTTTCGTGGATATGGGACGCTCTGACTAAAATGGAAAAATAAAACTTTACAGTTTTTCCCATGTTAAGAAAGGAATGTTTTCTGGCAAGTGCCTCTTTGTACCTTGGTAAAGAATGCGAAGGAACGTCAGGAAGACGACGTCTCCGTTCCAGACTATGTGTATCCGTTGCAGACCGAAAATGTTTGCGTTCCAGACTGTGTGTGTCTCCTCCAGATTTACTGCGGGGTTCAAGTCCGTTAAAGCGGCTCTGAAAATATATCAAATATTGGTTAAAAATTTAATTCGTCGTATATATACTGGGCATCGGTTTAATTCCCGTTTTAAAATATTTTGAGACTTTTAAGAGGTTCCATAAGAACCTAAAACGTGAATCCTATTTCAAAATTGCATGCTAGACAAATTCTCACCAAACATATGAACCATAAACCTTTTTTCAAAAAGATTAGCAAACCATTTTTCGTTTTGAAAAATCGTTTTGGTTAATTGGTAATTATATATATATATATATATATATACATATATTTAGAAAGAAACCTTATTTTCCAATAACAAACTTCTCTTAAGCTTCACATTTCAACAGAAAGGAATTATATTGCTTATCAACTTGAATTTTATAATCTTTACATCTTTGCAACCTGTTATCGACGTCGTAGACTATCTATTAGATCAGAGAGTCGAAGTTTTTGATTTACCAACAGGCATTGAATAATGTGACTACTTTTGTTAATATAATTTTTTAACTATTGTAAACATTTTTATTTTTCACAAAATATCCCAATTTTAAACTTTTAAAAGCTGTAACATAAAACTATGTTCTCCAAACTTCGTTCTTTGTTCCTCTCTTCCCATGTTTTTATGTCGATGAAAGTAATTTTTCTTCCCGGATTTTTCGCATTAGAAGGTTGGCGGATTCTTCTTAAACTTTCCGTCTGTTCAACACGTTTTTTCCGTCGGATTGTTGATCTTTGACGAGTTCCTCGTCGGAAATCTTCCAGTTCCTCATTTTCAATCGGAATAGATTTCAACGTTTTCGGAACAGTTTGATTCTCTTCCTCCTCATGCGGTTGAATGACATGTTTGAAATTATCTGTGGCTTGTAACATTATATCTCTTATCTTAGCATGATGATGTGCCTCTATAGGGTTCATAAAGACTTGGGGGTTATGCTGAACAGAAATATCTTCCTTTTGTACAGATGATTCAACCTCAAGTACAGTTTGGGGATTCTCCTGTACTTTAGGTGTCATTTTACTTTTCTTCTCCACAAATTGATCTTTGTTTGGGGATTTTTTGGATTCCATTTCTTCTTCTTCACATATTGGTTTTGATATATTATTATGCTTATCCTGTACCTTGTTAACTTCTTTTTGTTCTATACTATGTTTAAGTGGTTCATATTTATTTGTATTCATTTCAGGTTCAGTTTTAATATCTTTCTGTTTTTTTAAAATACTTTTATCATCGTCTATAAATTTTTCTTGTTTTTGTACCGACCAATCCATTTTTCGTACAGACAACTGTTGTTTCTCAATCGTTTCCTCATTTTGATCATTGTGCTGTTCAGGTCCTTGAAATTGTACAGCTCGATTTTGTCCAGAATATTCGAAATCCTCGGTTGGGATTTTATGCTTAAACGCTTCTTCAAGCTCGTCATCACTCCAGAAATCATCTTCAGTAAGTATCTCAAGAGGTTCCGGCGATTCCGTACCTTTAACAACATCAGGTAGTTCTCCGTCGTTTGGCGCTCTTTTACCATCATTAAAAATGGCCGTGGTTGAATTTCCGGTTATTTCTTCATTGCAAATGGTGGAATTCTGCTTTATCTCTGACTGGTCGTTTTCCAGAAACCCTGATAAAATAACTAATTCTTCATGATAAACTGGTTTTCTCTGATTCATTTGATTTATCTTGCGTGCTCGAGGTATTGGAACAGCTGGAGGATTTTCAATATTGGATTCTTTGTGGTCGTCTTCCAAAGATCTTTCTTGATCTTTTAAAGAAGCAGAAGATTCTATCGATGTATCACTTAAAGCTTCGAGTTCTTCGATCGAAGCTTCTCGAATTGTATGAAGATCGAAGCTTGGTCTGAAAAAAACTTCCATTTCCTCGTCACTGCTATGGTGGTAAACGTACTCTCTGCCAAACCGTGGATCATAACTAATCACTGAAAACCCAAACCAAATATTTTAGAAAAGATTTGAGGGATAGTGATAAAATTTTAGTCTTGAATTAATGCGGTCTCGGGTGAAGAAAACAATTGGGTGAAAATAAATTTAGATTTATCTGAAGGAAAAAGAAAATTTTCCATTATTAAGATTTTTCTTTTCAATGGACAAGGTAGATTTTTCTTTTATTGCTGTTTCAAAATCTATGGTTTTCCTAAATCATCAAAAACTGAATCATCCTCATCAGTCATATTTTCGAGGCCTTGTAAATTCAAACCCAGCTGCTCACTCACATTTAGTCCTAAACAACTTCGAAAATAAATCAGCGCAGTAAAAAAGTAATTCAAATTTAGTTCTATGTTCGTTAATAAGTTTTAAGAACATTATTACAACCTTTGGCTCTTCCAATAGACCTAGGAGCAGGTGTTGGAGGTTGTCTCATGCATATTACTTCCTTTTCTTCCTTTTCTTCTTTTTCTTCATCTTCTTCTTCTTCTTCTTCTTCATCGTCTTCTTCATCTTCTCCTCCTAATTCTACTCCTGTGTAGATTGTACACAAAGGAAAATCTTCCTTTCCATCATTAATCTTTAGAACACTTTTTTCTTCTTGCTTTGAAAGATTTCCTTCTTGTACTGTCAACTCTTGTTCTGTGTCATGATCTTGATCTTGTTGTAGCTGATTTCTTATTTCTTGCTTAACCTCTTCTTCTTTTTCTTCTTTAAATATTTTTTTTTTAATTTAAAGGAAATTTTTTTTGAAGTTTAAAGAAAACAAAATCTTGGCAAGAATATTATACTTTAAAAAAAATAAATTTTCCTTTTTCCGTAGAAGAATCTTCGATTTCTTTTGTTTCCAGAATTTCTTTTCTTTTCTTCCTGTTATAAAAGAAATTTTAAATTGAATTTTTGCCAAAAAACAAATGTTTTTTTTGTTGAAATTTACAAAAATTGACCTAATTGTAGATCGTTGTCTGGTTCCTCGAACAAAATCTGACAAATCTATTAATTTATACATTTCAAAAATAATCTTTTTTTAAAATATAATCTTTAGAAAGATTTTTTTAAACTTTAACGTTTAATATTTATAATTTTCAAGTGTATTCCTGGTTTTAGGTCATCAATTATAAATGCTTCTTCAACATTTTCCCAAACCGTCTCTTCGTCAATTTTTTCATCTGATTTTTACTTCTTCAATTTTAAAGACATTTTTACGTAAAAACATAAACATTGCAAGACATTTTTCATTGGACTTATGAGAGCGAAATATTTTTTTGAACGGGATATTTTTCATGGTTAGAAAAATATTTACGATTTTAATTATTTTTTGATATTTTTGGATTGCAAAATTCTTAAAATCAAAGTGCTCCTGTGACCGGCTCCTCCTCATTAAACCATAAACCTGATTTATATTAGA